TCCCATGGACAGAGGAGCCTGGTGGGCGACGGGCCTTGGGGTTGCAAAGAGTTGGACATGACTGAGCATGCACGGACATAAAAACAAAAATATTTTTGGCATGGCTAGAATAGAAACCAACATTTCTAGAAAGGTACCTATTGTTTAGATTGAGGAACAAAGCTGGATGTTGTTTTGTTTGAAACCTTGCCAAGAACTGTTCACGATTTGGGGAAACTGCGTCTCTGACAGCAGCCAGCCCTGCTTGTGGTATTTGAGTCACTATGTGAAGACACTTGGACCAGCTGCGCTGATGAGTCTCACATTCATGGTGATTTGTATTTGTACAGATATACTTATCTGCCAATGATTTCAAAGCGTCACGCCTCAGGTGTTGACATCATTCTATTAAACGGTCTGTCTTCTCATAATTGCAATGGTATCCACTACCTGACCACTGCAATCTGTCTTGGAGCACAGTCCCGCCCAAGCATTTAGGTATTGCTCTCCTACTGTTTTATCATCAATCACTCCCCTTTTCTCCTTTGTATTGAAATCAGGGCATTATATTGATTTGTTCTGAATCATGTGTGTAGGCTGATGTATTTGAAACCTTTGAATTTCATTAGGGCAGAAAAGAGATGTTACCAAATATTTGTTAAAAAAAACAGGGCACTGGGCTCCTTGGTGGCTCAGTGGTAAAGAATCTGCCCCCCCATGCAGAAGACATGAGTTTGATCCCTGATTTGGGAAGACCCCACATGCCACAGAGCAACTAAGCTTGTGTACCACAACTATTGATCCTGTGCTCCAGAGCCTATGAGCTGCAACAACTGAAGCCCAAGCGCCCTAGGGCCCGGGCTCCGCAACAATAGAGGCCACTGCAATGCGAAGCTTGTGCACTTCAGCTAGAGAGTAGCCTCCGCTCGCCACAACTAGAGGAAAGGCCACGCAGCAACGAAGACCCAGCACAACCACAAATAAATAAAATCATTTTTTTTTAAAGAAGGCATTGAAGGAGTTCCCTAGTGGTCTAGTGGTTAGGGGGGCTTCCCCGGTGGCACTAGTGGTAAAGAACCCACCTGCCAATGCAGGAGACTTAAGAGACATGGGTTTGATCCCTGGGTTGGGAAGATTCCCTGGAGAATGGCATGGAAACCCACTCCAGTATTCTTGCCTGGAGAATCCCATGGACAGAGGAGCCTGATGGGCTACAATCCACAGGGTCACAAAGAGTCAGACAGGACTGAAGTAATTTAGCACATGCACACGCTAGTGGTTAGGAGTCTGCATTTTCACTGCTGTGGCCTGCATTCAATCCCCGGTCAGGGATTGAGATCCCACACACTGTGTGGCGTGATCAAAATAAACAAATAAATAAAGTTGTGTGTGTGTGTGTGTGTGTGTTTAAAGAGCACATTGAGTCTGTGAGCACTGAAGACTCACTGGTGTGGAGTGAGAGAGAGCAAGGGCCAAAGGAAGCCATGCTGAAATGGAAGAGAGGATCCAAAGAGGTAGGAGGGAGCCAGGAAGACACAGCAGCCTAGGAGCAAAGAGTTTCTAGAAAGAGGATGGTTAACAGGCTGTGCTGGCCATATCAATAAAGGGGGCCTATGTGACCCTGGCGGAGTGTGGGGAAGGGAGCAGAATGAGACCTGAGGTCTGGGGGCTGTCTTTACCAGGAGGGCGTGAGGAGAGGGTGACCCGGCCTGAGAAGCTGACAATGGCAAAGGAGGTCTAAGGACCGACTTCAAGGGAGTGACTGGGGGAGCCCAGGAGGGACAGGGCTGGGGTCAGAGTCTGAACTCGGAAATACTGATTTTCAAAGCAGAAATGGGGCCTCCCTGCTGGTCCAGTGGTTAAGACTTGGGGATTCCAGTGCAAGGGATGCAAGTTCAATCCCTGTTGGGGAACTAAGACCTCACAGGTCACGGGGCATGGCCAAAAATGATAAAGAATCAAGGCAGAAGTGTCCCAAATGATGATGTGCCCTTGGGTGTGGCTGCAGGAGGCTGTGGCCCGGATGAACAGGAGACAAGAGACCCAAGAGGCGGGCTCTGGGTGGGCTGCTGCTGCTCCTGTGGCAATCACATCCCCGGGGCATAGAACACCCAGCTGCGGAAGACGGTCCCTGACTGAGGAGCAGAAAGGATGGGCTACAGAGAGGTGGTCACTGGTCCCCCACCTGACCCGGGGACTCGGCCAGATTCGTCACGGCGGGTCCCTGCCTGCCCTGCAGCCACCTCCTCACATACGCCTCCTGCTCCTGCCCGGCTGGGAGGCGCCTCCCTCTCCTTGGCAGGCCTGCCTCTGTCTGCACCTTTAGGGCTCAGCCTAGATGTCACCTCCTCAGAGGTGCTTTCCTAAGCACCTTCATTCTCCACTGTTCTTTCACTGAACCCTGTTGGGTTCTTCAATAGCTCAGCCTATGTACTTCTGATACATCGTTACATTTAAAATGCTAATAAAATTCACTTAGGATGTATGGTAGGCAGAAGAAAGCCTTGCCCCTAAGACGTCTGTCTATATGAACATCCCTGGAACTTGTATGTTCCTTCACAGAGTAAGAGGCTCTTTACACGGGACTTCCCTGGTGGTTCAGTGGCTAAGACTCTGCACTCCCAGTGCAGGGGGCCCAGATTCGATCCTTGGTCAGGAAGCTAGATTGCATATGCCGTAACTAGGAGTTAGCATGCTGCAGCTAAAGACCCAGCATGTCACAATGAAGATCAAAGATTCTGAGTGCCGGAACTAAGACCCAGTGCAGCCAAATAAATAATTTTTTTTTCTTAAAAAGGGTCTTTGAAGATAGAACAAAGTTAGGCATCCTGAGATTGAGATATTGACCTGGAGTATCCAGGTGGGCCCATGGAATCAAAAGGGTCCTTATAAAGGGAAGAAGGAGGTCAGAGTCACAGAGAGATTTGAAGATGCTGTGCTGCTGGCTCTGAAGCTGGAGAAAGGGGCCAGGAGCCCAGGAATGCAGGCAGCTTCTAAAAGATGGAAAAGGCAAGGAAATGGATTCTCCCCTAGAGGCTTCAGAATTGGCCCTGCCAACACCTTGACTTTAGACCAGTGATATCTATCTTGCACATCTGACCTCCAGAGCTGTAAGAGAATAAATTTACATTGTTTTTAAATCACTAAGTTTGTGGTAATTTGTTGCAATAGCAACAGGAAAGGAAGGCAGGGTGTAACTCCTGAAGTGATGCCAATTCCAAAAGGTTTAAAAGAAATCATTAAGATTCAGAAGTTTCAAAGCCAGTGGGCCAAGCAAATTGTAAATAACTGCCAGATGGTAGTTAGTTGCACTTAGTTGAGAGAAAAACCTGCCAGCATTATGGTTGGTCTTGAATGAACAAGTTTTGAATCAGACAATATCATTGGGATACATTCCTGGCATAAAATATGACGCCCTTGTGTTTATTTATCTGTTTACTTATTTATTCTCAGCTCCTTCTCCTCTTAGTTTCTCACCTGAGTACGTGGCACATGCAAAGGGCTTAGAAGCACTTTCTGCTGAATGACTATTGATGCACTGACTGTAACTGACAGGGACGGGGCCCGACGCCTTGGGTTGCCCTGGAGAGGTCACCAAGGGCCTGGGGAGCAGAGCCAGGCTCAGGGGGCACCCAGGGACTGGGGGGTGGGTGGCACTGGGGTGGGAAGCTGGCTCAGCCCCGCCCTGCCTCTAGCCAAATGCATTCTCTCTAGCAAGCCACTTCCTCTCTCTGGGTCTCTGTCTTCCAATCCATAAAACTGGGAGAATGTTCCTTGTTCTAGGCATGCTCCTTGGCTTTCTGTGGTTCCAAGGAGGAAAAGGAGCTTAGAAGAGTTACATGAGCTGCAACCAAGCCCATCTGCTATTTAAAAGACAGGATGGGGACTTCCCTGGTGGTCCAGTGGTTAAGACTCTGCACTCCTAATAGAGGGGGCACAGGTTCAATCCCTGGTTGGAGAAGTAAGGTCCCACATACCATAGGGCTAAATAAATCAAAGACAGGGTGGCAAACATGAGTGCTTATGGAAGCAAGGCCAGAAAGTGACCGAAGGAGGCAGAGGGGCCTGCGGCCAATGGAACAGATACCGCCACCAAGTGGGAATGCCAGCTGAGCAATACCAGATCTCCCAGATCTTTGAGAAAAGTAAGAAATCTGAATTTGGGGAGTTCCCTGGTGGCCCCGTGGTTAGGACAGCGAGCTCTCACTGCCGAGGCCCCGGGTTCAATCCCTGCTTGGGAAACATTCCCTCAAGCCATGTGGCATAGCCAAAACAAAACAGAAAAAGAAAGAAGTCTGGGAATACCCTGGTAGTCCAGTAGTTAAGAACATCCGAGCTCCCAGTGCAGGGGGCATGGCTTCGATCCCTATAGAATCTGGGGAATTAAGATTCTACATGCCACGTGGCCAACAAATAAACCAATTTAATTAAATATTTTTCTATTTTTCGTTTAGAAAGAAAGAAATCTGAATTTGTAAGTGAATTTGCCCAATTTTTAAATGCCAACCAATCCAAAAAATGTAAAGCTATGAGCAAGACACCACTGGTCGTCAATGTCTGCTCTCTCGGGCATGAAGCTTCTCAGAGCTTGTCTCGGGGGCAAAGTAAGTTCTGTTCAAGGTACTGGGTCCCCACGGGGCTCTGAGGGAGCAGCTGTCTCTGACTGGGACTCAGCCTTGGCCTGCAGACAGTGAAGGCTGTCGTGGCTCAAGAATTCTAGTCTCTGTTTGCCTGAGGCAATGTCTCAGACAGCGACTACAATGCCCTCGCTGTCCTGATTATAACCCCTCTGGTCAGCAGAAGCTCTTTCCCAGACGTGGGCATTTTCACTCCCATTTCTCAGATGAGGAGACTGAGGCACAGAGAGGGTACAGCCCGTAAGCGGCAGAGCTGGGGCTCAGCTCCCCCTACCCTGCGTCCCGTCACACGGCTGGCGTGGGGAACAGGAATGGGCCCAGGTCTCAGGAGGGTCCCCCCCACACCCTACCAACCCCGGTTGGGACGGGCAGACATCCTCTTACCAGACTCCGCTGACGCAGCGCGTGGACAGCGCCCGGGGCATGATCTCCGAGCCCTGCTGCATGAAGCCCCCCACGGGGAACCAGAGGCTGTTGCCCAGCGTGTACTGGTTCTCCAGGATGTGGGGGCGCGCCCGCAGGCACGGGTGCGGGTTGTACCACTCGTAGGGGCTCAACCTGTGGAGAGACACAGTGGGTGGGAAGAAAGAGAGAAAACAGGAGAGAAAGAGGGCCACCGTGATCAGAAGAGATGGAGGACACACGTGGAGAGGCAGAGAGACACAGACGGACAGGGAGACACGCATACAGACAGAGACAGAGCGGGCCAGAGAGGAAGAGGACAGAAGAACGAGAAGGGGACAGGCCTGCAGAGGATCCCGGAGCCAAAGTCAGAGACACAGGGAGGAAACACAGAGACCGGGCCGGAAAGGGAGAAGGGAGGGCGGCTGCAGGGAACCCAAGACTCCGAATGGAGGCCGAGACAATCAGGACAGACAGAAAGGGCAGCCGCGGAGACCCCGGCTCCTGCCTCCTCCCCGCCCCCTCCCTCCCAGGCAGCAGGTAGTGGACTCACCTGGCGGCCAGGAACAGCACGCAACTGACGGCCAGATAGGCAAGAAGCATGAAGAGCCACACAGCCGGAGAGAAAGGGTCCAGGAAGGAAAAGTAGCCGGGCTTGCGGCCCTGGTGGGAGAGGGAGTGAGAGCAGAGTCCCCCCTGCCAACCCCTCCCAAAGCCCCGGGGCCCATAGGCCCCACCAGGGCAGGAAGGTCCAGCCCACAGCCCCTGCCTCCCTTGGGCCTCAATGCCACCCCCCCACCCCCAGCCGCGTCTCCAGGGCAACCGTACCATATGCACCCGGTAGAGGATGCTGATCCCCAGGGTCATGAAGGGTTTGGAGAAGTCGATGACCTTCTCCCGCTCGGCTGTGATGGTGAACGCGGCCACAGCCAGGTCTGCCTTCTGCTGGAGGGGAGGCGGGGCGTGGGGGCGGAGGGGTGGGCCGGGGAGACAGATGGGCAATCAGAGAGAACTGTATCCAGGGAGCAATTTGTAGTGTCAGAAGCCGAGAGAGACACAGAGAGGAGGACGGCAGGAGGAGCCAGGGGACCAGACCGGCTCCGGGAGTGCACCCTGGGCCCCTACTGGACCTCTGTCATCTCATGTCCTCCTTCCTCCCAGCTGCCCTGCCTCATCCAATCTCTCCCGCTCCCCTCCCCCACGTCAAGCTCATCATTTAAGACCCTGCTTTATAAAACCTACCACTGACCCCCCGCCACTCCCACCACACCAGGGTCCTGAGATTGGAGTCAAGATACCTGGACGCTGACCCACTCAGGACCCTCCAGGAGTCTTGGTTTCTCTTCGGTATGAACAATTAACAACAAGTAAGATTTATCAAGCTTACTACATGCCAGGCTCCAAGCTAGATGCCACTTTATAGGGTTTTTCTTATATGATCTTCTCAATGGGGCCACTACTAGCCCCATTTTACAGCTGGGGAGACTGAGTCTCAGAGAGGCCAAGGCACTAGGGAATAAAGGCACAGCAGCTGCGGACCGTAACACAGAGGCATGACCTCCACTCTATTGCCCCCAGCAGGTGCTAGGGACCCAGGTGTGTGGACGCAGGCATCCCGAGACACAGGATGACGCCCAGCTCCGTAGAGAGAATGACCTCGAGAGGATCTGTATGTGGTCTTGAGTCAGGGAGCGGTGGGTGCCTGGAGTCCAGGTCTGACGTGGTGAAGGGTAGGGGGTGGAGAAAAGGGTGTGTTGGGAGCTCTGGCTGGCACACTGGGATGCCTGATCCAAAGAGGCCATCTTGCTCTTGCCCAGGTGGACATCAGCCAGTCGTTAGCTGTGGGCAGGACCCAGGCTGGGAAAAAACCTGGCACTTCACACACACATATACACACCCCAGACACACACACACACACACACACTGCACATGTGAGCACTGTACACGGTCAAGTCTACACCAGGAGCAACACGTGCGCACCAAGCCAAATCCACACGTGCACCCACGTGGACTCAGGCAGGCAGACACATGCGCAGCACACGAGTGCAGGGCGAAGCGGTGATGTGGGGGGCATCCCCTAGAGGCACAGCGCACACACGTGAACATGTGGCCTCACGTGCACACACACACACGACAGAGAAGGCAGGGAGCCGGGACAGGCCGGGTGCGGGAGGGGGGAGCCCGGCTCTGACCCAGGTGACCGGGGACCGGGGCTTCCATGTGTCAGAGCCTCAGTTTGCTGCTCTGTAAAATAGGGGCAGTAAGTGTGGGCGAGACGTCTCCTGGGTTGGGACCGGGCTCCCAGGATGCCTCTTCCAGGAATACCGGCTCCGCCCCCACGGCCTCAACTGGGGCCAGCACTGACTCCCAATTCAAGCACAGACCTTCGACCCTGGGGCTGAAACAGAAGAGTCAAGGTCCTAGATCACTGGCCTGGGAAGAGGGACAAGCTCACCGCCTCCGAGGGGCTGAGTTTGAGAGCACAGGAGGGAAGAGAGGCTGGGACAGAACTGGGGTGAGGAGAGAGGGCTCAGGCCTCGAAGGAGAGAGGTGGCACAGGCTGAAAGCAGAACCAGGGTCACAGGGCAATCACGTGGGGCCCACATGAAATCCACGATCAGGGGAGAAGAGACCAATCTGAAAGCTAGCTCAACGTCAGGGAAAGAGGACAGACCCAAAAGACAAGCCAAGAGTAGGGGGAGATGACTCAGGTGACACGATTCCCGTAAAGTGGAGGACAGACGACACGGCCCCAGCGAGACTTGGGAGCAGAGATGGTGAAGCCAGAGGCTTCGACGTGTGGCAAGGGCCCAGAACACATGGGATTCACAGCCCACCCTCGGGAATTTCTGGATGTTGAGAGTAAGGAGTGGTTCCCTCTGGGTTTTTTTTTTTTTTGGCCCACAACTTGCAGATTCTCAGTTCTGTGACCAGGGATTGAACCTGTGCCCCCAGCAGTAAAAGCACCGAGTCTTTACCACAGGACCACCAGGGATTTCCAATTTTCTCCTTTCTCATGCATTTGCCCCTCTTATGACTAATATGTGAATTGTCAGGAACAATGCCAACAAATATAGGAATCTTTATTATATTTTACACACCCCAGAAGGTCTGTCTTGGCAAAAGTCCTCCATGATAGCCCATTAGCCTCCTCACTGCCACATATCCCCACCTCTGCTAACAACACCCCTAATCCAAAGTGAGAATCACCTGTTTAAAACCCAGGGGTGGCTTCCCCACTGCACCCAAGACAGTGTTCAGGGTGGCTGGAGCAGAAGGGGAGGGGTAGGGGACTTCCCTGGTGGTCCAGTGGCTAAGACTCTGTGCTCCCAAAGCAGGGACCTGGGATCGACCCCTGGTCTTGTCACAACTGAGACTGAAGATCCTGTGTGTCGCAACTAAGAGCTGGTGCAGCCAAATAATTAAATATTTAAAAAAAGAAAAAGAAAGCAAGGGGTAGGAAATTCAGTGGAGTGGGGACCAAAGCCCAGCAGGGCCTTGCAGGCCAGGGTAAGGCAGCCAATTCTGCTCCAAGGACAGTGAAGGACATCACATCAGAGGGTATGAGCAGGAGGTGACTGATCTGCTTGCCTTGAGAACAGACTACAGGGGCAAGAGTGGAAGCGGGCATAGGGGTGAGATGGGCAGGGAGAAAGCTGACTAAAGGTGTCCACGGAGATGCTGGGGGAGGGCAAAGTGGTGGTGGTCAGATTCAGGTTTCATTCTGAACAGAGGACAGACAGATCCTTAAAGGCTGAAAGTTCCTTCTAGATTCCTCTCAGTCTTAAAACTCCCCCTCCCTTTCCACCTCCTCCTCCCCGCCTCTTCATTTCTCAAAAGAGACACCCATTCCTTCGAGAAGACTTCCCTCCCCAAGGGGATCCTGACAGTTTCACCTCTGGGATGAAGTCGGGAAGAAGCCAAATGATAAGCTACCTGTAGAAATGACGGTCGGGGGTTGTCTAAATGCCTAAAAACCAACCACTTGTGACTGTCGGGCTGCCCCCAACCAGCCCTGTGCTCCAGGTGCAAACCACCTGTGCTGTGCCATCGGCTCCCTGTCATGCTCTGCCAGGAGGGGGCGCCAGAGGAAGGCTGCAGGGCTGGAGGAATGAGGGTAACCTGCACTTTCCAGGGGGCTCTCCGGTTTCCAGCCTTCTTTCTGCACCAAAGGCAGCCTCAGTTCTTCCCAGGACAGCAGACAAATCCAGTCTGCAGCTTCCTAGCACTCGCAGTGGGCTTCCCCAATGGCTCAGTGCTAAAGAATCCACCTGCCAATGCAGGAGACAGGGATTTGATCCCTGGGTCGGGAAGATCCCCTGGGTAAGGCAATGGCGACCCACTCCAGCATTCTTGCCCGGAGAATCCCATGAACAGAGGAGCCTGGCGGGCTACAGTCCATGGGGTCACAAAAAAGTCTTAGCGTGACTTAGCGTGACATGACTTAGCGACTAAGAACAACCACAAGCACTCACAGAAGAAGCCTCACAGAGCCCTTCCTCAAAGTTTCCAATAGTGTCAGCTCCTCTCCGTTCCTTCAGAACTTGAGACAGTGTGGCTTCCTGACTTGCTACCTCCGTGCCTGAGAGCAAGGGTGTGTGAACCACAGCCAGGTCTAGTGCATCTGCCCAATTTTGTGAATAAAGTTTTACTGGAACCCAGCCAGCCTCACTCCTTTAGGGATCATCGGCAACTGCTTTCCAGACAAAAGAAGAGTTGACTAGTGACAGGATGACCTGGAAGCCGGGACTATTTACATCCGGCCCCTTAAAGAAAAAGTTGGCCTCGGACTTCAACTTTTACCCTCTCAGTTACCTAGTTAGCAACTTCATTCCTAGTGAACACTTCTCTTCATTCAGATATCTGGAGTGACCTGTTTCCTGGTAGGACCCTGACTGGGCACAAACGACAATACTCAGATCACACGAGTGCTCAGGTCACATGGTCACTATCCATGGGCAGGTGTTCAATCTCTATGGGAGCCCAGTAATGAGCAGTTTCTCAAACTGAAAAAATAGCATCTGCAGAAAGAGCCTGATTTGCTTCAAAACCCCGGCAGTCTGAAGTGAGTGCCCTCCTGCTGCCTGCATCCCTATTTGCCACCAGCACTCTGCACATCCCTGGATCTGCCGGGTCATCAGATCCGGGTGTCAGTCAGGTCAGATTGCATGAAGCCAGCACCTGCTGCAGAGTCTTTGTACTCTGGGCCTCCCTCAAAATGAAAGTCTTATGAATTGTTTGGTAAAAGGACTGAAGCAGCACACACAAGTGAAACCCAGGGATGAGTTGCCACTCAAATCCAAAAATCCCACCAAACATCCACAATACCAGACCAACAGCAACTACACCTCAAAGGTCTGAGGCTCAGCTCTATTGGGCCTCTTGAGTTTCTAAGTTTCAGTCTTTCCAACTTCTCCTTTCCCCTTAGCCCTCAGGGTGGTGGGTGCTTCCTGAAGCTGCTACCTTCAGGATCACTTAGTTTCCTTTTTCACCCTTTTGGTGAGCAGGTTCACAACTTTCACTTTGTTATTTAGTTGTTAAATCGTGTCCCAACTCTTTTGCAGCCCCATGGACTGTTAGCCCACCAGGCTCCTCTGTTCGTGGGATTCTCCAGGCAGGAACACTGGAGTGGGTTGCCATTCCCTTCTCCAGGGGATCTTCCCAACCCAGGGATAGAATCCCCCGTCTTTGCATTGGCAGGAGGATTCTTTCCCACTGAGACAACAGGGAAGCCCTCTAACAACTTTACATCTAGTTAACAATTCTTTGTGGGGTTTTTTTTGGCTGCACTGTGAAGCCTGCAGGATCTGCCCGGATGCTGAGCAGAGGAAGCATGGAGTCTTAACTGCTGGACTGCCAGGGCTTTCCCAAGCTAACAATTCTTTTTTAAAAAAATTTGTCTAAAAAAAAAAAAGATTTGTCTATTTTTGGCTATGCTGGGT